TTGCAGTCAGGGCTAACCATTAAACCACTTTTACTCTTGTAAGGTTTACACAAAACCCCAGTACCCATCTTTCCAATGTTCTCTTCATCATCCTCTACTAACTGCTACTCAGGACTGACAGGACTCTCCAAACTTCTAATCCAAATGGCCCAATATAGTATACCTTAGTATCCTTTTTCTCTGGTGATTTTAGCAGCCTGGTTGGTTATATGCTCCTTTATATATCTTGCTATTCGGTTTATCTGCCTATCCCTTTGAGGATGTTTCATAAACTTTCATCAGTTTGATAGCACTGTTGAAAGTTTTGTGCTACCTCCTTATTTAGGATTTCCAAGTGAGTTTCTGACTCTTCAGTTTTTTTGCTTTTCATGCTCGGTGGTCTTATCATAGGTTTGCACTAAAGTCTTATACAATATCAGTTATTAACATTCCTCTGTGTAGGTGTAATATTATACTTAGCATAAATGCCCTGAGCTCCTATTTGAGATAGTGCAACAAAGGTTACAGATACACCAATTCAACTGATCAACAGAGACAGTTATCATAACACAGACCTATTTTTCAAAATTTGTCATCCATGAGATTTGAACTCTAGACCTGCCACTTGAAGGTTGACAACTTGACCACTTCACTAGGTCGTCATACCTCTTATAATTAATAAGTTATAAAATATCTGTATAATATTAGTTATATAAAAGAAAGCAAACTAATACAAATTCAAAATAAGTTCTTATAGTTATATAAATTTATAAAACTTTTTTTTTTTTGCTTTTGCTAAAGCTGTTAGTTATCAGTAACTACTGCTTTTATTGTAATTTTTAATTATAGTTATATAACTTATACAAAGTTACTTTTATATTATACTTAACAGACAGTATACAAGTTTTTATACACCAAAATGCCATTTAATCTAATTCCAACACCTTCTTGTCTGTATGTTTGTTAAGCCATTACATATTACAGAATATGTTACTTAACTGTAAGGCTTTAGAGGGTCTTTTTGCTAACTAACTACTTATATTTAATCTTTGTTAATAGAGCTTATTTTTGCAAAATTTACCTAGACCTTAGTATCAACTTTATAGCATATTTTTAGTACTTAGTTATACTTTGCTTTAGTTTTTAAACTTCTAATTCAGATAGCTTAGAAAAACTATAACCTGTTTCTAGTATTTCAAGAATCTGCCTTTCAAGATTTTTTTCTTCCAGTTTGAGACTTCTGGTAGCCTAGTTGGTGGTACTCTTATCTGAAGTTCTTGTTTGCCTAATTTCTTTTACATTAATATTCATTTTTTAGATCTAACCTTTATAGTGATACTATTAAAGATCTGTGCTATCTCTTTGCTTAGGTCTTTCTAAGTAGGCTCTGGCTTCTCAGTTTTATAGATTTATATGATTACAAGAACTTATTTTAGATTTGCACTGTCTGATACCAGTTTGCATTCCTTTGTATAACTTCAATATTGAACAGATGCCCCATGACCTATTAGTTATACTAGTGCAACTATAGTTACAAGTATTTTATTTTAACTAATTGACAAAATGTCATCACTATAATACTGTTTATATATTATATAGAGAATTATCTAAATTTTCACTATTAGTAGATTTCAAACTCACTATCTATCATTTGGAAAGTTGACAACTTATTCACTTTACTAAGTTATCACACTCTAATTTATAAAACTAAAAAAACAAAACCTTATTTAAAAAAATCTAAATAAAAAAATAAAATAAATTTTTAATTATATTACTAGAAAGTTTAAATCTAAAAAATAGATATTAATATAAAAGAATTAAATATATAAGAATTTTTAAATAAATAATATTATTAACTAAATTACTAAATTTTAAATTAAAAAAATATTAAAGCAGTTTTAATATATTAAGAACAAATTATAATTCAATAAGCTATTTGAATTAATAATCTGAAATAAAACCAAAAATATAATAAAATACTAAAAATTTATTATAAAATTAGTATTAAAGTTTAAGTAAACTATACAAAAATATAACTTTTTATTAATAATTTTATAAAGTAAATAGGTTAGTTAACAAAAAGATATCTAAAGTTTTAAAATTAGATAATATATTTTAAACAAATAATAGTTTAACAGATTTACAAAAAAATATTAGGTTTAAATAGTATTTAATTATATAGAAACTACTTGATGCAATATAAAAACTAAAAAATTTAAATAAATAATTTTCTAAAAATTACAAATACAATAATTAGTATAGAATTTTTAAACAAACTACTTAAAATAAGCAACTAAAAGTTGTATATAAAACTAATTATATACATATCTTTATACAAGTTATATATAATATATAATTAAAATTACAATAAAAATAATAATTTCTATAAACATTAACCTTAACAAAAACAATAACAACAATAATAATAACATAAATTTTTTTTAATATTAAGGTAAATATATGTGATTTAAGATTTTATTAATAGTATATATTAATTAGCATTTTTTGATATAACAAACACAAAAATAATTATAAAAAGAGTGTACAATTAGTTATTAGTATAACTTTAGTCATTGTTTAATTTAAGTAGTTTATTTAAAGGTTCTATACTAGATGCTATATCTAACCTACTTGTAAGTTTTCTATTTAAACACTTTAAATCTCATATTTACTTTATTTTATCAATAACTTTAGTAAACTAGTAAAAATATGATATGATCACTAAATTATATTTAACTTTATACTAAATTTACAAAGTTATTTATATTCTATATTTATAACTGACTTAGTATCACTTTAACCTAAACCATTACTTGTAGTTAGAGTTAATTATTAAATTACTATATCCTTGTAAGATTTATCTAAAATTTGATATTTATTTTTTTAACATCTTTATTATTATCTTTACTAACTGCTACTTAAAACTAATAGAACTTTTCAAACTTCTAATCCAAATAACTTGATATAATATACTTTAGTATTTTTTTTCTTTATTAATTCTAATGATTTGATTAATTATATGCTTTTTTATATATCTTATTATTTAGTTTATATATTTTTTTAAAGATGTTTTATAAGTTTTTATTAGTTTAACAATATTATCAAAAGTTTTGTACTATCTCTTTATTTAAGATTTTCAAGTAGATTTTTAACTCTTCAGTTTCTTTACTTTTTGTATCTAATGATCTTATTATAAGTTTGCACCAAAGTTTTATATAATACTAGTTATTAACATTTTTCTATATATGTATAACTTTATATTTTACTTAATTGCTTAAAGTTTCTATTTAAGCTAATGCAACTAAAGGTTACAAATATGCCAATCCAACTAATCAACAAAGATGATTATTATAATACAGATATAATTTTTAAAATTTATTATTTATAGAATTTGAACTCTAGACCTGTTACTTAAAAGTTAACAATCTGTCTATTTTACTAATTTGTCATATCTTATAATAATATAATTTTATATATAAAACAAAAACTATAAGAATTTTTTAATTTATTAATAAAATTATTAAAAATATTATTATTTTTAATTTTTTACTAATTAATTATATTTTTATATTAAATTTATTAATTTTAAATTATAAAAAACTTAAGATCAAACTTTATAACTTTATAATAATACTGCTAATCTTCTACAAACTAAATTAATAAGAACTAAATTAAATATGAAATCTTGTAAAAAATTTTAAGATAAAATCTAAAAACAAATTAAAAATTTTCAAAAAAAGATTAATTTTGCAAAAAAAAATATTATGTATAATTTTGATATTATAAAAGGTTTTAATTACATAGTAATATTATACAAATAAGTTACTAAAAAACATAATAGCATCAATATCTTTGTATCTAACTTGTAAAATACTTAATTAAGATAATATAATGTAACTATAACTAAAATAGTGAATGATGTAATGTATGCAAAAAAAATCCGTAACAAAAAATTGATCTAATCAGAATTGAGACATTTTAGACAAATATCAATAAAATACTAAATATATTATCTAATAAATGATCATATATCATAACTTAAATAATAAATACAATGATCATATATTATAACTTAAATAATAAATACTATATTTCATATGTAATAAGTCAAGGTTTCAAACCTTCTTGCAATATTAAGCTAGTAATATATTAATATATAATCAATGATATATCTACAGAACACATATATAATCAAATCACAAATCAAACTAACTATAAAAGTATAATCGAAAAAAGTATGTAATAAACTGCAAATTGATGATCCAAACTTTGTAATTTCAACCATGTCAATAAGATACTAGAAAACATATAAAACTGTGTACATCAAATTAATAATAACAAGAGCAAGAAATCATAAAAAAAAAAAAATTATTACAAAAAATAGACATAAACTATATTCAGATTGAGTAATAAAAAATTAGAATACAACAAGGTAATTACAACCTTACTGATAACTAATAACAATAATTGTAATACATAGTAAACATTATAAAAATATAGAAAAATGTAGATGTAATGTCATGTTGGATGTCTAGAGCACATAATAATTTAATAACACAAACGTAATGTAACTATATGTAATAGTAATGCAAAAAAACTAATAAAATATAAGTTACAATTGGTATTAAAATAAATAAAAAAATTATAAAAAACTTAAAACCTAGCCACCTGAGCATCGCCCGGATCTGAAAGCTAGTATATATGAGTGACGAAAAGGGAAAACCTGTAAATCATCTCACTCAATGAGTGAAATGATTTACAGGTTTTCCCTCATATGTAAAATTCATTTGTAACTAACTTACACCCATGGTTTGTACTATGAAATTTGGCCAATCACTAATAAAATAAGCCTAACACAATGAATCCGCACATTCGAATTTTAGACACTAAAAAATTGTTCTAATACGAAATTTTATTAGTATTATTGAACTTCGACAATGATTTAGTTTTTTTTTATACCTCGGGAACATTACGTAACGATGTTTTATATTTTTTATTTATGCAAATAATATCTAAATATATCAATTTTCACCTTAAAATAAAACAATTTTATATGAAAACATTATCCAATAAAATTCGTGCATGTGACCCGCAACATAAGGGTGTTTTACTCTAAAAAAACTAGAATTTCGGAATGTAGTTAATAAATCAACATAAAATATAAAATACGAGTATAGTCAGAGTGAGTTTCCGGATTATAGTTTATATAGTTCAAAATTTGAATATTATTGGTAGATAATATTCGACTAAGCCAGCTTAGCCATATCAAAATTATCGACTCGGCTAAGCTTATAAATTTTTAATAATTGACTACAATCATTAGCCACGGTGCCTAATGTTTCTTCTATTACGTCCTGTATCGTTATCGCCTTCTCCGCCTTCGGATATGTCACCACCAACACCTTCTGCCTCAGATATCACAGAATCTTCAATATCAGCACCAGCCGTTATGGGTTGCTGCACAACTTGGTCCTCCACATTGCCTACTCCACCAGTGATGCGACCTCTTTGTTGTCCAATAAGCGTATTATTCAGATATGCTCTCAGATCTTTTACACCTTTGCCACTGAAAACACAAAACACTTGTCTCTGATGAGGGGTGAATTCTTTAGGCGGTGGCCTACAAAAGCGTTGAACATCCGGACGTAGAAATGCATGAACACCGGTAAGAGATAAATGTGTCAATCGATAACAAAAGTTAATTAGATCTAACACTGCGTTGATCGTAAGGTTAACACAATACGACAGATGCACGCGTTCGAGGGTATGGGCTACAACACGATTTTCGATTAGAGCAAAAATAGCCTGATCTGTGATGAGAGCGCATTTCACCAATCCAATTCGACGCAATTTTGGTAAGTTAGAAAGTTCAAAAACTGATGCATCAGTAAGTTGGTTGCAACATGCCAAATCAAGATATCGTAGACGAGTACAATGACGAGCCAAGTGAGTTATTGAATGATCTGTAATACGATAACAATGGCCTAGGTGAAGATAGTGCAAATGTTTGCCCAACCGAGTAATATGATATACTCCTTCATCCGTGATATTGACGCATTTGGCCAACACGAGATTGCGTAATTTAGGTGCGCTATTGACAATCTTGAAAAGTGTCTGGTCGGTTATAAGATTACATGATGTAAGGTCCAACACTCGTAGTTGTTCGAATAACGATGGCGCTGTTCTTGTAAATGATTCATCGGTGAGATGTGCACAGCAGGCAAGTCGGAGTTCTCGTAATTGTGTGCAATTTTCGAAAACCGGTTTGATTGCTTTATTGGTTATTTGGTTACAATTGGTAAGATCTAATTCTAACAGGTGTGGACAGTTTTTAGCCAAAACAACAACAGATTCATCGGTAATATTTTCGCAATGGCTAAGCTTAATCTGAAAGAAAAATAAAAAGATAATAAATCAATGATCAAATTCGTCCATTATTTTCTTTTCATAATTTGCTTGTATCAGATTAATAAACAATATATGCATATATAACATTATTTATTTATATAAAATTAATAATAATTGATTACCTACCCTCCTTAAACTTCTGCATTTTGAAGCTACCACCATAATGCTCTTATCAGAAATTTTTTTGCACAAACTCACATTCAAACCTTGTAATCGTCGACATCGTTCACCAACTAGTTCTATTACCGAATCAGTCAGATTTTCAATGTCTGATACGTCTAAAGCCACTAGACCATCGGACTTTTCTAGCAATTTCAAAAGCCCTATATCTGTCAACCTTCTACAACCTCCAAGAGTTAGCCTCTCTAATCTTTCACAGGAGCTCAATCGAGCAAGAATTTGATCGCTAATATCCTCTCCCAAAAAAGAAAAATTAAGACGACGGATGAGAAGAGAATATTGAAATGTTTGAGTACTACGTGATAAGGTAATCAGCAGTTTAATAAGGGATGCATTGCTAGTGAAAACTGGCTTATGCCATAACAATTCAATTCCACACCGGCACCATGATTTGCACACTAAAATGCAAGACTTAAGGTCAGCAGTAGATGTTACATATTTAAAAATCTGTAAGATCAATTCCGAAGGTATAGTAGCAGCTTTTGCGTGCGAAGCTGAAGACGAGGGCAGTATATTTTGCTTTGTTGCTCGCCAAGGTAAAAGTTTTTCTAAACTCATTGTACAATGATTCTTGATCTAACTTCAGCACGTTTTCTATCGAGTTAAAACTATTAAAAACTAAACATCCAAATTATATATATTTTTATCAAAGAAATTAAATATTAAAAGATACAATAAAGATAATAAGCTACGGAGGATGAATACGACATAAGAGTTAGTAAATACCTAGAAGGTAAATGGACTCTCGGGGCTATGTGAGTTTGAAGGAAGGCCGCTTATGAGTTGAAATCGCACGTTATATGATGTGTAACCCCTGTACCGGGAAATATTACTGTTGTCCCAACAAAATGTGATAGGTGTTCTTATACACCTGTGCAGATATTTCTCAATTAGGTTAATGTTAGCTTTAAAAAAAAAAATATTTTCATGTGCAGTATCAAAGATATCACGTGATAATTGTTGCTGTGTTGTTAATGGCCTCTGATATGATACTATTAAAGAGTCTCTCATCAAATTGTTAAACGGTTTTGTTACACATAAAACTATTTCTATACTTATACATAAATAATATTGTACGTATGTAACTTTTTATGTATGCTCAAATTGAACAACGTTAAGATATTGGTTAAATTTCGCATTAATTTTATTGGTTAGTGGTCACGGGGCAACAAAATTTTAACTGATATAAACAAGCCACAAATAATTCGAATCAACAATTTATGCCAGAATTTATTTTGCAAAGTAACTTTTTCCTGCAAACTTAGCCTCGTGAGTCCGCTTTCTGGGTATTTACTAACCTCTACTATATTCATTCTAGCTTACATTTATTTTTATTAGCCATCAATTCTTTAATTTGTACTTTAATATTCATGCGACCACGTTATTTATTTGAAATATCATAGGTTAATATTTCTCCAATAGATACTGCGGATAAAATGTTCTACAAAAATTCGATATTCTTCGTCCTTGTGCTTAGCCTATTTCTTTGCTTTTATTTTATGATTTGTTTCGATTATGGAACTTCTTCACAAGATGATATAATATCCAAGAGCATGAATTATGTAAGAAACGGTAACAATAAATTAGAACATAGTGACGCTTTAATTCGAGCTGTTGTTGCCGACCAAGTTAAAACATTGTGCGCGGCCGAAGTTCAAAAAAAGATTCTATCACAGAACAAAGAAGTGACAAGGTATCGAAATAATCCTGCAGTAGAAAATATTGTAGTCAATATGGTACGGCAAGAAGTCCAGAAAGCTGTTGAAGAAATGCTATATATATATTCGCAAGACAAATTAAACAAAGCAGATTTTGCCCTATCTTCAGGTGGTGCTAAGATTATAAGTCCACTAACTTCCCCAACTTATGAACAATGGCCGTCACAGTGGTATAAAATAATAATGGCATCCATGACTGGTTACGGTATTGCACGAGGTAAACCTCCTGTCACAGCAATTCAACCTGATACCCATGTTGGACAATGCTGGCCTTTTTCTGGGCAACAAGGACAATTGGCAGTATTGTTAAGTCGCCAGGTATACGTGACAGCAGTAACCTATGATCATGTAAGCAAAACCGTTGCAATGGGCACAACAAGTGCACCAAAAGAATTCGAAATTTGGGGATTCGTTGACGATGAACCTGATATAGAATTTATAAAGTCGGAAAACGCAGAAAACAATCGTCCAGAAGATGATGCTGTAATCAACAAAAAACCAAATGACCCGGACACAAACATTCTAGACTCTAACCATATACAATTGGCAGGTTTAGACCTGAAGCTGGGTTCATCATCAAGTCACTTGTTTTTGGGCCAATTTGTATATGACATAGAGGGCTCACCTATTCAAACCTTCGATGTCAAAGCTCCAGCTAAGCCTATTCGCGCTATCATTATGAAGGTGAATAGTAATTGGGATAATCCAGAATACACATGTTTATATCGATTCCGCGTTCATGGTGTTCATTTTACACCAACTTTTGATAAAAAATATTAATAAACAACTTATTTCACCTTGAAACAATATAATAAATTAATTAGTATTTGTTTAAGAGAATGAGTCGGTACTTAGCTTGTTCGTAATTATCTTCTAATAGGTAGATAATTTTATGCGCGTTCCTACACGGTGCCGTTTTATCTATTTGCTATAAAGAGAACTATTTAAATAACTTATATGAAACATTTTTAAAATTAGAACCGGTTTAAAAATTAAAAGTCACGCGTATTTCATAACGTCTGATCGTATGTGTAAATAGTATTATTCAGGATGGTACTGAAATTTTGAGTTTTGATTTGAAAAAATAATCCCTTCCAAAGCCACCTATACTCTTATTAACAACTCTAACCCTAAGTCCTGGTCTAACCCTAAAAAAAGGCTAAAATATATACCTCAAAATTTTTACGATTTCAAACCCGATTTTAGCATTAAAAAATTTATCTACATAATTATCACACCCATAACTCCACGGTAATTAGAGTGGGTAAAATAAAAATTGATCATAAGATCTTATAAACTTCAGCGTCTTATACACCCATAATGAAGAACTATAATGAATAGTTAAGTAATAATATAGTATAAAACATAATGTTTATAATTTGGGAGATAAATACCTATTATACCACTAATTTGCTCACACCGAACAAGTTGTAATTTATAAAGTTTAAATATAAGTGCCGCCGAGTAGTCTAATAAAGAATATTTGTTTTATAGTAGAATTTCTAATTTCACTTGGCAGCACTCATACATTTCGTACTAATAATACATGTGGATTGATATTAAATATAATTTATATTCTATAATATGGACTAACCTGCGAACAATGAGCGCTCGAATATGAGCCAAAATGGACATGCCTTTTTTAAGTGATTCAGAGTTCGACTAAGTTCGTGGCTATTGGATTATCTAATAACTCACAAATTGCAGATAATGCAGAATTCATAGATAATAAAGTAAACTAAGTAGATTCATATTTTTCATTGCAACTTCAACTAGTATGTTTACTAAAGCAAGCGGTGTGAATGGCATTTAGTAGAAAGAATTAAACCTATTAATGTAATTGAAGATATTAATAAAAGAAACTACATCAACAACGTTACCTGATAAGGGCGATTATCGTTCAACCTCTCTCGCTGCTCTTAAAATTGGCACTTGGCTCCGTTTGCTAGAATGTTAATATGTTTAGAAAGACCCTATAAAATTTAGATGTTAAAATATTGTAACTTTAAATAGTCTTCACTTCCTGTAATCAGGTAAATAAATTATATAACTTTCTATTCCACTTTCCAACTACATGTACAACAGAAATGCATAAAGGAATCGATTTGCGCTTATTGTCTGTTTCTTTAAGAAATATTCATTAGTGAAGACGAACAGGAGACATGCCTAATGTTACAGCAAACCACATCTTCCCCTTAAAGATAACGAAATAGGGTATTTTTTGAATAATAATATGTATCTGAATCGTAAAAAAAAATTTGTAAAATATATTCCTTTTGCTACTAAATAATCATCTTTTTGGTCAAATTTATATGAATGATAGGTATAGTGATCAATCTCCGGATTACGTACTAATCAGCTTATTTATAATTTTTGAAAAATAGGCAATGTATGAACTATGTGAAATGCATTTGTAAATGGATGACAAGGTAAGTAAATCAAAGATCATGTGACTCGGCCTATAATTTTATTGGTTGCACAGAAATTTAGAATGTTCGCTTATTAATACCCTTAACCTTGCACTGACCTCTTTAGGTCGTGACTTTCAACCAGTAATCTATCTTCCTATATTCGTACAATCTATATGCGAAAAATGCCTATTCAATAATTATAATGTCTGAGTGAGAGGGGGAGAACAATGATCTTTGATTTACTTACCTTGCCTATTTATTTACAAATGCATTTCATATAGTTCATACATTTGAATAAATGAACTTCGTTCAGTAAGTAAATCACAGATGATGTGACTAATGTGGAGTAAGATTACTATTTGCACTTCTTAGTATACCTTTAGTAATATAATTCTTTTCTAGCATAAACATAACATCTCTTTGATAGAATCATTGATATGTGCATGACTTGACCAGTTGCTCATTGCTAAAATAGTTGTGAAATCAGTTTCTGAATTCTGAGTGTAAAAAGCTGCTAGTGCTCTTGCATCTTTTGCTCTTAGATCTAGTGATGATTTTTTTAAAATGTCTTTAACCCATTTTACTATTATGTTCACTGATGCTAAAATGTAAAAACTAATAAAAATCAGAAACAAATATGTTTTCCAATCACTTATAGTACATTAGCTTTTAGTATATTTCAACAAGAAATCAAGTGTTACCAATAATGAAATTTCTGATAGTTTATCATAACTTCTTATATATATCTTTTTAATAGAGGGTTTATTTCTTCTATAGGTCATAGAGATCTTATATTCTTTTGAATTCTTAATGTTTAGAATAAGTCTTTGTTCTGTATATAAGCCTGATATAATATCTATTCAAGCTAAGTCAAAGGGTTAACTAGTAGTAGTAATAGCTAAAAGAAATATTACTTTTCAAAATAAGTTTATGATTTCTATTGTATCATTATTTCTAAATAAATATATAAATTTTATCAAAAGATAAAACTAAATCTATAATGCTGTCTTTTTATAAAGATGATAGATTTAAGTTGTATACTAGAGATGTTATTCTGTTCCATTAAGTTAGTTTGTACTCAAAAACCTGTTGAAACACTGTTTCAAAGCATATATGTAAAACCAGTTCGTAAACTTAGTTTATACAAACATATTAATAATTATGCTTACTTAAGCAATTTAATAAAACATGTTAATTTATTAAAGCAAATACATTTGAATATATATAATTTTGTATGATGATGTTTATTGCATCTATTGCTATTATTTAATTATTAACCTACACAATTTTATTATACCCAATTTATTAACTTTCATTATAGTCAATAATATCAACTTATACCAGGTCTTTAAGCAAAGGCTTGCAAAAGCATTTTCTTCAAACAATCGATTATATATTGAGTTGATTGTATTCTTTGCTTTTGAAAACATTTCTTCACTTAGTATGCTTGTTGCTTATATGATCAAGTAATCACATGCTATCCTTGAGAATCCAGAATAATGTACATTAGCAGATCGTGTTTTTCAGAAGTTTAAAGGATTACAATTTTCTTCAACAGTCATAAAGTATTCTTCAAGAACATTAATAGTGTTTAACTTTTTATTACAATATTTTTTAAAGTAATTCTTTAATGAATTATTAGTATCTTTAGTTATAGGTATGTTAAATTTTTTATACTGTGCATAAACACTATATAGTAGTTTACATATGATTATTGCCTTTTCATTATTAAACATAGATAATTTTATGTTTGGATCTAATGCAACTGACATGCTACAACAAGTTTGAAGGATGGTCCAATAATCGTTAAGTTTTTTAAACATTTATTATGCAATTTGATTATTTATTTAAATTTTATTATTTAATGCACTATATAAAATATTTAAAATCATGAGAAATATCATGTGTAAATCTCATATTATAGGACAAGTTGATGATGATAAAATTGGCATTGCTCTTGCTATAGGCTTAAGTAATATAACAATAGCCTAAAGACAGATAAGTAAATTAATTTATTGAATTTTAAAATATGTTAACTAAATTGCTAATTTCAACTTTATGCCATTCAGCTTCATTTAGATACCAGTCTCTTAAAGCAGAATTATTCTCAACAAAGTTATTAGTCATTTGACAGATTCAAAACATTTTTTCTATTATATTATATGTACTGTTCCATCTTGTCAGTACATCCAAGTCAGTTATAAGAAAAAACTTTCTATTTGCTTGAAAAACCTTTTTAAGCTCCTCAAACAAAAGTTGGGATTTACATATATAGCTTATAAAGTTTCGCAACTTTATAATTGAATTGACTACAACTTTCATGCCTTCAGAAACTGTAAGGTTCAATACATGAGCCACATAGCAGACATGTTCAAAGTCCTTGTTACCATATTCATAGCAAAGCTTTTTGTGAAACATATATCCAAATACCTCTATACTAGATGCATTATCAGTAGTTGCAGAAATGATTTGAGAATCAATATTGTAAAATGAAATTATATCCAAGATTTTTTCAGTTATATAATTACTAGTATGTCTTTCATGAAGTAGTATCATACCTAATAAAATTCATTTCATAATTTAGATTTCATCAATCTAATAAAGAGTAATAGCGAGAAATCCAAGATTAGTACAAAAAGTCCAAGCATCTGTTGTAATCATGAATTTTTGCTGACTTGTGTTAAAAAAATTGCAAAGTTTGTTTTGCTTATCATAATATAGTTTTAAAATGCTTCATGAAATAAATTGTTTCAATAGAAGGTAATATCATAATGTTAATTTGTTAATAAATTGTTGAAAATCCTTATTTTTAACAAAAGAAAAAGCTTGCTAGTCTATAATAATCCATTTAAGAAGATACTGATTAATTTGTAGAACCTTATCAGCATTGTAAAGTTTAACATTTTTCTTAATAGCTATCATAAGTTCATTCCATCTCTCTAAATGGTTATGCTTAAAATGAGATTTAATAGTTAAGAGATCTGTTTCTACTGAATAGGATTAATTACAAAGTTTGCAATATTGTTTATCATCAGTTTTAATAAGTTTATCCTAGAAAGGATTCTTTTTTAATCACTTCAGATAATGGTTCATTATTTCTGCTAGTGTTTTAGACTCAAATGCATTTTGAAATATCAGACTTGAAGAGGTAGATTTAGTTAAATTAAATTATTCAAATATATTTTCTTCATCCATTGAATAGTGAAATTTAAAAAAAAAAAATACATATTTATATTAAAAAAAAAAAACTAATTATCATCATATTATACTACTAAATTAACTTTTAATTAAAAATAAGTCAGAGCAAATTTTGTCATATTAATATAAATATAATGCAGATTTTTCATCATAATGATAATAATTAAAAAGTCTATTAAGCATTTTGTTCATTTAATCGATTTCAAACTCATTTTGAGCATAAGAAGTTTAAATTTAATAATGAAAATTATATGCTTACAAAAACTTAAGTTCTATTGAGTTTGTTTTAAACAAAATCAAACCAAGTTCGGTAAAGCAGAATAATATTCCTATTGTATACACCTCTTATTATTTTAATTATTAGGAGATATGATCCAATAGGTAAAGTATCAACCTAGTTATATACTTTACTAATTGCAAATCTATATCTTGCAATCATGTTGTATACTTTTTTTAAACTGACTTGTTTATCGAAAAACAGTATTATATTATTCAAAAGGCATGTAATATGATTAATTTTTTTTTTCACACTAATTAATCTATTTTTTGGTATTTAAAGATACTATTTTAAAGGCATTCTCATTATTTGCTATAATGTACAAGTTGATAGCCTTTTCAGAAAAGCTTTGTGCTAAGAGGTGATCTCTAATATACATGCTATATACAGATTTCAATGACTTATTCAATTGAACTGGTCATAGTTCCCTATTTATATTACTAAGTCTCTGAATAACAGTTTTAAATAATTATCTAGAAGTAATAGCAGAGTGAAAAACTATAGAGCTGATTGCCACAGAAGAAAAATTAGCACTATTGTTATCTTTTTTTTTATGATCTGGTTCAGAATTCTTGATAGCAGAATCTATAGAAAGTTGTTTAAATATTTCACTTCTTTTATAGAAGTTGTAATGCATCTGTAACTATTGCCTTTGGGTCTACTTTCTATAACATATAGTTTGGTGTCAAGTGATTTTAATAATTGGCAAACAGATCCAGATTTCTCTGACTTCAAATCTGTTGAACTTGATTAAAGATTTTTTTGAAAATCATTCAGTTGTATCTGTTCTTCTTCAACTTTGATGCTTTGTCTGCTCATATGTTTAGTTGTTCTGATATATGATTTGCTACTAGTTTTATCTATTTGTTAAGATATTTGATCTATATGTGTTATGCTAATTAACTCAGATATGAGGATATTGTTTCTTCTTAATTGTTAATATTTAACACTATAGTCATATTGTCACTCTGAATCATTATTATGCAGTTCTTGATATGACTTCATTTGTTTAATATGAATATTACTATTAATAGCTTTAGCTTGTTTATATAGTTGTCTCTTGCCTGGTTGTCTCAAAACCTATAGATTATTTGACTGTTTGAGACTGCTCTCTATTCTGATCTGAAGGCATTAGTATAAATAATTATTGTTAAAAGATCTTATATAATACTTCTTTCATTTTAACTTTTTAGGTTGCTGATCTAATAATCTAATTGTTAATTACTATATTTCATTTTTAATACCTTAATGTCTAGTTTTTGTTTTGCAGAAGAGCTCTGAAAAAAAGTTTTATTGAATAGATTGCTTTTGCTATTGTATTCAACTTTTCTAATAATGCTACTAGTTTGCATATATGAACCTCTTTTCTAAATAATATTAATTAGCATTCTCTTAGTATGTTTTTTATCTTTCTCAATAGAATCATAAATGTCATATTGTTCAAGTTTATATTAAGACCCAGAAACTTGACTTGTTGAGATAAAGTCAGTTAAGACTTTTTTTATTTATAATGAACTTAAAGTATTCAAGCATTCTACAAACCTTTTTTGTATGCTTTACTACTTGTTTCTTGAAGCTTGTTAGTATTAAAATGTTGTTAAAATAGACTATTAGCCAATCTTTTGCATTCTTAGCAATTTTATTACTGGTTTTAGAACCTTGATGAAAATTCTTAAACTTATTATTAAGCCAAAAGATAAGACTATAAATGCATATCATGTATTAAGAAAGTCAAATACAAAATAGAATCTTGAATATTGCTTTAAAGAAATATAATAGAAGGCATTTTTGATGTCTAGCTTTGTTAAAAAATCTTTTTTTCTTAACAATGATTTTACCAACTGCATATCTTTTATTTTAAAATGCTATTATACTGCAAATGAATTTAATTTTCTAAGATCTATAACTAAACATATTTCTTCTGACTGTTTAGATATCAAAAACATTTTTGATATAAAACACAGTATATCTAGAAATAACTCTATAATTACTTTTTGTTGTAATGAACTTATAACTTCTGTTTTCAATAACATTAAGTCTTGTGTTAATAGATTTTGTGATAAATCTTGAATTCTTAATGAAGGTAATTCCAACCAAGCTAGTCAATATCTTTCTTTTATTAATGTTGAAATCTATGAATTGCCAAATGTTTCTGATCATTTTACTACAAAATAAGACAACTTTGCTCTTATTATATCTGTTATGTAGTATTTTGTTGATAAAACTGAGCTTGAAATTCATGCTGCTAAAAATTTTAGTAACAGTTCCATATATTTAAGATTGTCTTTAATAATCTTTTTCTTTAATACTTGGGCCTTACTGTAAAAGCTTTCTTTTATAATTTAATTGAAGATTTTGTAATTATTTTTTCTACTATAAGGCATCATTAAAAAATTTGGTTTTTTTATTTTTTGCTTTAATAATTTTTGAATGTTTGTCTGCAAATAATGTTTTTACTTTTGATTTCATTTAATGTAAAGGATTAATGCACTTGATTGCTTGCTTTTTCCTCTGTTCATCTGTATATGACAAAGCATCCAAAAGTAAAACTCTAGCTAATAGCAGTAATTGTTTTATATATTTCTATATTTCAAATACTTGTTTACTACTTTGATCTAGTTTTGTTTTATATAGCACTCTAATTGACATGTCAAGAAGTCTAAGAACTGCTGAAGTTTGATATGATATTCTTTGTAACAATCTATTCACCTTCTTTGTATCCTTATACATTTGTTTGAGCATTTCTTTATCTATTAGAAAAGGAGTAAACTTAATAAGTTTATTACACAGAAAGAATTGTAGCAGTCTTTGTTTTTCGTTAGTAGAGAGCTTGTAATCTTTATAGATCTTTGTAGAAAGTTTTTCTATCTCTCCTATTAGTATGAAGATTGCATTTGCCTTATTAATAAGGTTATATTCATTATCTAAGATCTGTACATCTTATTCAACATTAACATCTTGTTGGAAATTAAGGTTGGTAGTCATAAGAATTAGTTCTTGTCATAAACTATTCTACTTTAGAACATAACTAAAGTTGCAGACTGTTAACTAATAAAAAATAGCTTAAAGAGATTAGTGCAAGGTTAAGATATTAATAAGTAAACATTATATATTTTTGTGCAACATATATAATTCTTTATAAGCTTGGACTGCAACTAATAAAATTACAAACCAAATCATATAATCTGTGATTTACTTACTAAGTAATATTTATTTCTATTTGAACACTAGTGTATAAAATATGAGTATATTGATATCTCAAAACTCTAATAATAAAACAGTTTTTAAAGTCTTAGCAATAAATATTCTTTATAAAATTTTAATATAAACTATAATCTAAAGCTAACCTTACTCTAACTTTAATTAGATTTAATTTTTTAGTTTATAATTTTACAATTATACAATATTTAATCATTAAGTTTAGCATCACTTTGCTGTTTTAATTGCACTATTTCAAGCAGAAATAGGTTGTTTGTTTAACTAAAAATTTATAATAGAAATGTTTAATATTGTTTTCTTTATTTTGTTTTTAGTTTAATTAGAGTTTTAATTAATTATTTTTTATTTTTTATTTTTTTTATAATGCCAATCATAATACTTTATTTAATTAATACCAGATTAATACATTAAAGTTATTACATTTCATTTGTGCTACTATATTACTATATAAACACCCAATGTGACAGTATATCTACACTTTCCTAAATTAAGACTAGTACTATAGTATTTCAACTATTGTTACTAATTAAGGTAAGGTTGTAGCCACCTTGTAATACTATATTTCCTAATTCTATCTAACCATAGTCCCCCTATCTACTTCCTGCAGTAACCCATCCCTTCTCCCAAATTGGTTGACTTCAGTGGTTTTTTGCTCTTCTTGCTACCAATTTGGTGTATACAGCCCTCTATGTATTGGTACTGATCAGCATGGCTAGATTTATCAAGATTCTGGATTATCATCTGCAGCTACTACATACTCTTTTTTATATACTTCCATAGTTGTAGTACTATTGTACTTCCAATTTGGTATTGCAAGAGGGCCTGGAACCTTGACTTATTACATATGAGTATAGTAACTATC